AAGAGGCGCACCAATAAAACTACAGAAAAATAAATACTATAAGATCGGGGTTCTGGCACCTGAACCGAATTTGAAACGTTCAAGTAAAAATTCTCGCGCGCGACGAGAGCGACGTTAACGAGCATGCGCGGGCCCGGCGCTCCATCTCCCGCGTGCAGGCCGTTCATTAACGTTAACATTTACTGCTGCTAGCGCGTTTATTACGTGAACTATCAATGTAAAAGTTTCTGAAAATCAATATTTAATCCTTACTGTAATTGTCTCTAAAATCCCGATCCGATACGTCCAGTAGTTAATTAACAATTAACGTTATAAAGAAAAAAGCTATCTTGGGAACAAAGAGGCGTAGGTGATTTCCCTTTTTTTAATTACCGTAAAAATAAGCTCTATTTAATGCAAAAAGAGCGAATTCCCGAGCGGCTTTTATCTGACTCCGGGACAATATGTTTATCACGCTGTTTTGCACGTCCTACTTTGTTAGTTGTAAAAGGGCTACTTAATTTCAACTTTTTCAAATTTTTCTTTTCCAATACGTTTCTTTGGATCAGTAACAAAAGCCGGGACGCGTAGTCATTTATTTATTAGTTCTCAGAACGGATGGGCCAAAAAGTAAAATGTTTTCGTCAACACAAATTATCGAAAGTTGAGGGCTTTCAAGTAGGTAGCATCGTCCTTCGGAGAAATTTACCAATATTTTTAACAAATTCGCTTAGAGTCGGGGCCATGTGACAGTCATCTGTTGCGTCTGGGAGGCGCCAGCGTAGAAACCCATATTTTTAATAACGCGCGAAATCACGAGAAGAGCGTAGAGGTGCCAAAGTAGAATTAATTCAAATTGTAAATTGATAGTAATTCGAAAAGAGAGTAATAGCTTGTTTTTTGACGGATTTTCCAATCTATAAGAGTAGATTAAATGAGATCGACTAATCCGTCCCGTATTTGCTACACGGAGTCGTTTGAGGCAGGCTAGAGTTACTTGTAAGTCACATAATTATTTATATAAATGTAAATAGTTATGCCAAAGCATCCCGACATTCAGGGTTCCCGCCAATAGGATAAGAACAGAAACTTCTGAACCCAAGAAATGAGCGTGTCGAAGCGAAGTATCGAATTCGGGAAAGATCTCGAAAAAGAAAAGTCTCGGGCTAATTAATTAAATTTAATAATGGACAAAGTTTTTTCCAAATTTTGCTATGAAGCGCGCATTCCCTGAATCTCGGTACGCTGTCGCGTGTCAATAAATTAATTAATAATGTTGTTCGAGCCGTTGTGTTGTTATTTTGTTTGTTTGTCTTGTTTATTGTTACTAAAACCCTTCCTGGAAGTTTTGGTGTTTCCTTTTGTTTCTCCAACTTCAGTGTGACCCTGTATAGCCAGCCACTGGATTACATTCTACGTAAGCAATAGAGGGTAAGTGCTTGAAATTCATTCTCTGAACATACAACATTTCTAAGTTCCAACGTATTAATTAAAAGGTAATGATAATTATAAACTCCCTTTCGAGAATTAAATAGTAAACTCTGGTGAAATCCAGACTCGTTATGACACTGGTCATAACGAAAGATAGGTAGATAGATAAAGAAATAACCCCTCAGGTTACAGATCAGTTAGAACCTTTATTTACGATATTCTAAAATTAACTATTAGTAATTAAACAATTAGTTACAAAAAACCGAACGAAATTAATTAACAAATACCTGAAGCAACAATTTCACGACAATCGACTTTTGGAAAACACGTTGATCTTTCGATTGACAGTCTTTTCTATAAATTTCATCAACATCCGCCGCTTTTTGCAATTATAATGCGCAATTTTCGAAAACTGATTATTCCGCGTTCAACCTTTATTTTATAGTTAATAAATTAGTGAAATATGACTTTAGCTTTAATTGTAGGTAATTTAATTGCCTACAACATAAAATGTCTAATTTTCCGATAGGTCCTCTAGATTTTCGTGGGCAGTAAAAAGAGTGAAAACACAAATTATTAGCAATTTGCCAACTTAGCGTTACTTCTTTCGAGTTAGGTATTATCATTCTACATACTCTTCCCTGTCATAAAGTGCAATATATGGGCGTAGCTAGGGGGGAGCAGGGCTGTGCATGACCCACCCCAGAAAAAAGAACCTATATCATCTAACTATGCGACTGACTATGTGACTTTTTTATTAGAATAAATCAAAACGTGTTTAGGTGTTTGAGATTTGAAATTTTATGTCGGCGAGTCGCTGAATGCGTTTTTTAGAGGCCTTCAACTCGCAGCCCTGGACCCAGCCCAAGCAAATATCCTAGCTACGCCTATGGTGCAATAAAATATCTACTAATAATTTTTTCAGGTTCAAGTTCTAATTCGACTGGAGTATTACTATTTTATGAATTTGGATTTATTTTATATTGCTGCGAAGAGCAATGGTTTGTAAATTAATGTAACTTTTTCGTAATACTATTTTAATTATAGTAAAAAGTAAACTGTCCATGTTTGGTTTACTCTGTATTTAAAAATAATAAGAAATTGTTATAGATTCACATATTCTTTTTGCTTTAATAGTAAAACTTTGAAATTTGTTCATTAGCAAGTGAAGTTTGGTAGTTTTCTATTTTTAATAAAGTTAAAACATTTTAACGGAAAAACAAAAGTTTGTTTCGGAAGTATGTAATACTAAATTATATGTATTAAGTTTAATAGAGATGGTTCATATCATCAATCAATTTTAAAAACAATATCATTTAGGGATTCTCATTTTAGACCCGTGCTTAAGCCTTCAAAAATGGTAAAAAGTGAAAACAAATTATAGTAGGATGAAACCCATTGGAAAAGGAAGAGAATATAACAGAAATGAAATGAAAAATAATTTACGGGCGATCTGAGGTCGGGAAGGGGAAGGGGTGAGTTTTTAAGGGTAAAAAACGGTTTATCTTGATTTCCGGAAAAACTACAAGTCTTATGGAAAAAGTTAAATGGCAAAGTTGTAGGTAATAAAAAGATCTACAACTTTAATATTCACACTTTTTTCACATAACCTCAAAATTTATGTGAAACATTCAAATAACCAAGTTTTTGGTTTTTTATTTTTATCTTTTACAAACAAATTTTTTTTTTCACGAAATTTGGTGAAAACTTACCTATTTATGTCCCAAACACGCTGTAATTTTTTTGATTTGAAATATTTATTTTTTCACCTTATTTTTACTTAATATCGAAAAAGCACCCTAATTTTCAATCGAAAATTCTCACGTCAAAATATCTGCTTTTTTAAAAACGTCGGTGGGCTTTTTCTTCGTTGAAATCTCTACTTTCTGATGGTGTAAAAAAATATATACATTACTATGGTAAGTTTTCTCAGGAAATGCAAAGAAACGAACTAGAATCCGAAAATTTTTTTCTAATCATTATGTACAATTTTGAGCTATTTATTAAAATTTACACTTTAATTACTCGAAAAACGTAAGATTCCATGTTACATTGATAAACAAAAAAATTACAAGTCGAAATATACTATTATAATTAACAACCAAATAAGTTAATAAAGTTAATATTTAATAAGACATCTACAATATTTTGAGAAAGTTGTAGAATCTTCTTTCGTTTCTTTGCATTTCCTGAGAAAACTTACCATAGTAATGTATATTTTTTTTTACACCATCAGAAAGTAGAGATTTCAACGAAGAAAAAGCCCACCGACGTTTTTAAAAAAGCAGATATTTTGACGTGAGAATTTTCGATTGAAAATTAGGGTGCTTTTTCGATATTAAGTAAAAATAAGGTGAAAAAATAAATATTTCAAATCAAAAAAATTACAGCGTGTTTGGGACATAAATAGGTAAGTTTTCACCAAATTTCGTGAAAAAAATTTTTTGTAAAAGATAAAAATAAAAAACCAAAAACTTGGTTATTTGAATTTTTCACATAAATTTTGAGGTTATGTGAAAAAAGTGTAAATACAAAAGTTGTAGATCTTTTTATTACCTACAACTTTGTCATTTAACTCTTTTCCATAAGACTTGTAGTTTTTCTGTAAATCAAGGGAAACAGTTTTTTACCCTTAAAAACTCACCCCCTTCCCCTTCCCGACCTCAGATCACCCGTAAATTATTGTTTCCTTCATTTCTGTTATATTCATTTTCTTTTCCAATGGGTTTCATCCTACTATAATTTTTTTTGGTTTCAAAAATTATCGACCCTGGTCTATTTGATATTACCAATCGTGAATTGTTGGTTGCCTAAGCCCGGTGGTGATCACGTGGCTTGTAAACATCTATGAAGACTGTACAACTTACCACACTCAAAATAGTGCGTGTAACTTGCCACATAGATAAAAATAAGAAAAAAAATTCCAAAATTTTCTTTGTTGTGCTATTAGAATTGCATGAAAAAATTTCGACCGAAGGATCTAAAAACTAGAATATTAGAGCTTCAAAATACTTTTTTAATTCTCGATATGACCATTTTTCACCTAAATACAGTGTGTTCAAAATCACGGAAAATTTTCGGAAATTCTTTTGACCCTTTAATTTTTTACATTAGTTTATTATCAAAGGAAATTAATTCACTAGACGATAAAACTGTAGGTATTTTGTAGTCTAATATAATCTCATGAGTTGGCTTCCCTTTTAGCCAATTTTAAAAATATTTCGAGGCAGTTTTTCGAAACAATATTGTTTGCCATATAGTTTAAAACTGTTTTTACATTATTTAATGGTTTTCCATTCTTGAATACAAAAGCGAAACTTCCCAACCTAGAATCAAAAATAATCGTAACTGCTTCTTTGCGTACGAAACGGAATTCCGTCGTGCAAGAACTCCCGAAGACGGTGTTCCACCCCCCGAGTGGCGACAACTCTCCAAGAAAACGGTGAAAACTCCGAGACCCTCAGCGGGCCGCACGCGTGCCTACCAGAGCGCATGGGTCGCCAAAATCGCGGGATATAAAATAAAAAAATAACCGTGTGCCGGCAGTACATTCCAAATTTTGCGTTAGTGACAACAATGCAGACGGACTGTTGACTGTGTGGAGGACCGAGCAGCATGTCCGACGTGATAAACGAGACGGCGGTTCCGGATAATAACTCCTGGGGTAAAAACAATACGGAGATCAACCAGTTCTACTTCTACGAGGTGAGTGGTGTGCGTAGACCGGCTTTGAATGGACGTGTTCGATGACCTCTTTGCTTCTTTTTGTCCGTCAATGTAACCGGACAATAACAAGTTATGCCGCGTGATTAAGTACAATCATTTAAACTTTTTCAAAAATATCCTACAAAACTTTCGCTCTAGTTTAAATTCGTTTGTTACTGTTATTTAATAGTTTTGTTTAATTTTTAAATTAAAAAATACAGGGTGTCTCAATTTTAATCTATGACACTTCGGGAGTTGATAGTACAACGAAAAATAATGGTACTTTGTAAATATCTTCTGAAATAATCCAGGTATTTGAACTAAATTGAACTAAATTTGGTGTATATTATATTAGGTCAAGTTTCCATAAAATACTTTAATATCAAGACTTTTGCGCAACCAGTAGCGGAGATATGGGAAACTCATTCGACTATTTTATTAAAAAAAATAGTACGGTCCTGTGCAAAATAATAATTGGTTATATTTTCTGAAAAGGCATGCTAATGGCAACAAAAAATGCCTCTTACATTTTATCGATATCTGTCTCTGTTTTACGGCAAATTAGATTTCTCTTTTCCCTTTCAAATTATCCAGATACTGTGCGCTAATGGATTTTTTAAATTTATTATTAGAAATATTTCAGCTAGTTTCAACTAATTTAAATAAAAAATAACGTAGCATCCGTCAAATCAATAATATTGTTATTTGATTATTACAAGAACTTTAAGAGAATCATTAATTTCCAAGTAAAAATCAACTTATTAGGCTTTCTTTAATTTCTTTTATATTTCATGGAAAACGAGAAGGGGTGGATCTTTAAACCCTGACATTGTTGGGACAATTGAATTGAAGCAGCAACTACCAAACCAGACCAAAATAATAATAACTTCATTTGCCAGGTACAAGATGTTTAATTTTTTTATAAAACTTCAGAAATATTCAAATATCTCGAAAGATGTTTGAAGTAGATCAATAATCACAAACTGACGACTTAACTAAACTCAGCTTAAAAATTTAAGGAGCAGAAAAATTTCGAAATTTTTTACTGATTTTTGAAAAGCTGTAACTTCGTGATTAATGGTCATATCGAAAAAAAAAGAAGCATTTTGAAGCTTGAAGATTCTAGTTTTGAAATCTTGAAATGAAAATTTTTTTTCAAATATTTTAAAACTTGAAATTTCAAAAAAAATGTTTTTCTCGACTTTTGAAATAGTCAATGTAAAATTGTAAAAACGAGGATGCAAAAAAATTAAAATATTTTTTGAAAAATTGTTTTTTTTTCAAAATTTAGAATTTTTTTACGATGTTTGATGAGTATTTCAAGCAAAATTGTGAGAAAAATAAAGCAAAAAAAATTTGTTTCATCTTAATTCCCAATTGATGTTTAAGGAGCAAAAAAAACTGCCCTTTTAATTTTTTATAAAACTGACGCTTCAGGAAAGGAAAACGGTTAGACCGATCGATTTCAAAATTTACATGGGTAAAAAACCCTACAAACATTGTTACTTTCGCAATATTTGCAAAGTAGAAAAAAGTAATTTTTTTTGCACTTTTTCAAATTAATGCTAAGTATAAAAAAATATATATTCTCAAACTAACAAAAGGCCCTTGAAGAGAATTGACTTAGGTTTCTAAAACCCACCTACCGTTCGCTGTACAGGGTGATTCACTATATTTTGACACCCCTTTAACTTTTTTGTTTTAAACGTTATAAAAAAATGTGAAATATAAAAGTTGCACGATTTTTTATGAATTTTTCGAAAATGATAGGAGAAAAACAAATGAAGTCTCCCTGTCGACAGGGAACGTTCTATCCAAATATGTAAAAATATATAGGGTGTTCCATTTAACTTAACAAAGTTAACATCCGCGGCCAATTTATTTAGACTTCATTTGTTTTTCTCCTATCATTTTCGAAAAATTCATAAAAACTTGTGCAACTTTTATATTTCACATTTTTTTATAACTCTCAAAACAAAAAAGTTAAAGGGGGTCAAAATATAGTGAATCACCATGTACGATCATTAGTTTATAAGATATCGATGATAAAAAAAAAGATGAATTTTTACTCAATAGTCGATATCTCAATGAGAAATAATTGTACAGAAAATAAAATAAAATCAAATTGAAGCTGACAAATCAGGCTAAATGACACTGGCATTTCTTAAGCCAGAAAAAAATTTTCGTAGTTTAAAAAATTGTAAAATTTGAGTGATGCTCAAAAAATTATTTCGTCTCAAGATTTCAAAACTAGAATCTTCAAGCTTCAGATGTTTCTTTTTATTTTCGATACGACCATTATTCGCGCAGTTACAGCATTTCAAAAATCACTAAAAAAAATTTGAAATATTTCTGCTCCTTTAATTTTTTTGCTGACTGTAGTTAAAAGTAAGAGTTCACTGAATTCCAATACAATTATATCAACCAGGAGATGAGATACTAAGATACATCATTTTAAAAGTCCCAGAATTTCGACGCCACTGAGTACATATTTTGAATATTCTTGATGTTCATTTGATTCTCAATCTCATTTCGAAGAATCTTACGAAAAATGTGTTCCTTGCTTATTTCTTAGAAAGGGCAAATCATCTAAAACAGTTGAGTTTGATAGGAATATTTATCCCATGGTGAAAGCTTTACTGTACCGTACCAAGTGTTCAAAGATAAAACAAATTTTCGAGTAATTACTATTTTCAGTATAAAATAAGATTACTATAGAATAAGATAAATTGAAAAGTACTGTAAAATTTACATTTTACTAAACACATACAAGAATTATTTGTTATAAAAACAATGTAATCATTAAAATTCCAAAAAAATTCTTTTACCCAAAAATATTGAATTTTTTTGAGAGAAGATAGTAAAAGGCAAGTATCAGTATCTGAATTATCCAGAATATGAATAAATGCATTGTATTTAAAATTGCATTTGTAATAAAAAATTCACATGCATGCGAGAAGTATATTTTAGGATAAAAAATTAATGACGCGAATGAATCATTTTTGGAATAAAACGGAAAAGAAACTTTTTCTTTGAAGTATAATTGTGAATCAAATGAACATACATAATTCTCAAAACACTCACTCGCATCGCAATTTTGGGATTTATAGTGGCTTTATATAATTTAATTAGTGAATTTTTATTTAGTTAAGTTCCCAGCCTAAATTTCATTAAGTTACATAAAATAACTTCCAAGATGTTTGGTAACTGTGGTATATTTCAAAAACTTAAAACTTTGTAAACGAAGTAACTCTGGATTAAGGTATCTTTAACCCAATGATAATTCTGAATTTTTGAATTTCCCACAAATTAAATCATATTTATTAAAAAAAACCCCTCTATTTTTTCAATCTTTAAATTTTAAGCTATAGATAAGACTTTTTAATTCATATCATTCGTAGTGGTACTATGGACATTCTAATCTAAAAGTGTATCCTATTTATGTCATTATTACAAAATTTGAATTAAACTAACAAAACGAAATTAAATTTACATACGTTTAAAAGAATTTGTTCCATTTCTATAAATTCTATAATTTCTATAAATAATATTTCAATAAATATTGAAGACTTTCAAATATTAAAAAAAAAATCAGTCTTGTTCTCTCCACTGTGGTGGCAAAGTACAGAAATGGTATGCCTTTGAACATGACTTGTTTAGCATATACACCTTTTATTGTCTACGACTGTACATGTAAGTAATCTGTACAAGAACTATTACAAATAGCTGCATTTTTGTAAACACTATAGACTAAATATACTTTTCTACGATACCACATATCTAACCGATACTAACATTTTGAAATCATATTCGACGCGTTTCTATGATCAAGTTGGGTGATAAAAAAAATTAATCTTGTTTCGATGAACATGCTACTTACAAGAAAATTATAATTTTATTCATAATTTTACAGTGTAACAAGGTTTTTCAACCTTTTAACCTTTTTAACTAAAATTAAGAAAGAATATATTAGCAAATCTCCAGATTAAAAATTCACAATAACAGTGTTGAGATAAAAAGAACTTAAAGCTTTGAGTTTATTTTATATATCCATTTCCAGGGATCCGAGAGATCACCTAAAAAGTAACCTAATTTTACAGATTAATAACAGATAAACCCAATTCAAAAAACAATATTTTAACAGGAAATTACAATCTTTTCTAATAAAAACTTGGTTGAAAATATTAAACAAGTTAAATAACAACATATTTATCTTCTCGTCTTGTGTAGGTATATACATTTATCACACACAAACAGTTACGCAATATGACGAACTTTTCGAACAACTTTTGAAAAGGAAATTTTATTTTTAGCAATAGGAGATTGTTTACGATTTTCCCAGTTCGCTTTGTGCTAAAATAAACAATGTATCCAAACATGTACACAAAATACAAAGTAAAATCCTCAACGCGTATGATGGAATAAAAACAGAAAGCAAATATACGATGCCATATTTTTTTATCGAAATCGAAATCGGCAATCTCCCAAAAATATTGCGGTTCTTTTCATGAAACGTATTCCTTTGCGTTTATAAATATCCGTAAATTAAAAATATGTATACATACCTTGTCTTGGGTGCTGTGAGGTATGTCAACGAAATGATATTTTTAATTTGCCGCTTATAAATTTAGAGGAACTAGGTCTCAGGACTCTCATTAATATGAATAATTATATCTGAAATTATTTTAAAATAGAGGGAAATGTGCAATACTAATTCTTTCTGTTCTGTTTTTCTGGCGCTGACAAAATGTATGATTTGTATAACTAGTAAATAATAGTGGCAGGTAACCCGGATGTATTTTAAAGTTATACAAAAAAAAATTAAAACAAGGTGCGTCTAATTTTCTGCCGAAACTAGTTTTTTACCAGTATTGATTTCATAACAGGATTAGTACCACATCATCGATAAGCGATTTAAAGTGTAGATGACTCTTATTTTACCAATTCTGCACTGATTTCTTCTTTTATACACCATGTCTCAAAAGGTTGGAACAAAATTC